GGGGGGGAGGGCGGCGGCGGCGCGTTGCGCAGGCGCGGCGGCGCGCCCGCCCCCGCCCGCCGCCCGGCGCCTCGCCATTGGCCACGGTGCCCCCCGCCCGGCCGCCCGGCGCCCCACGATTGGCCGCGGCGCTCGCCTAAAAGGCGCGTCCAATGGCTGCGAGCGGCAGAGGCCGGTGCGCAGGAGGGCGGCCGGGGCTCAGCGGGCGGGTGGGTAGCGGGCGGCGGGCTCGGCGCCCTTGGGCCGTCGTCGACGTGGGGGTCCGGACCGCCGGACGGGCTAGAGGCCGGAGGGCAGGAGGACGAGACGGGCAGGGACCGTGGCCGGGACCTGGTGGGGGCGGCGGCAGTGACTGGCTCTTTGTCTCCGCTCGCTCCAAAATGGCTGCGGCCGGAGCTGAGGGGAGAGCCGGGCGGGCGGGCGAGGGAGCCGGGGACGCCGTGCTCCCGGGACCCCAACGCCCCTCATGGAGTCGCCGCCGCCGCCGCCCGCGGGGACCCGGCGCCCTGGGAGGGTGCGGCCTGGGCCGGGGGCCGAGGCAGGGAGGCGGCCTGGGCGTCGGCGCCATTGCTGCCCGGCGGGCGCGAGACCCGGAGCTCGGCGCACCGGGCGGGGCGAGCGCTGGCCTGCCCCTCGGCCGGGCGCCTTGGTCCGCCCGAGATCCGGCGTCTCGCGCCGTGAGGGCCGCTGCTCGGGCGGCGGGGGCGGGGCGGGGGTCGGCGCCCGGGGCCGCGCCAGGGTGACTCATCTTCTCCGGCGGCGCGGCCCCCGGACACGAATGTCTGTAAATTACTGGGTGAGACGGCGGCGCCGGCCGGGACCAGCAGCTCCCGTAGGGAGCGTCCATCCTGGAGGTCTTCCTCGGGTCCTTATTTCCCGTTCTGTCCTTTTGACGAAGTAAGTTATCTAAAATAACCTTACGAGCACCTTCTCTGTAGAAACAGTTCACGTAAAGTTCTCTCCTGCGTGTTTTCGGGGTTTTTTCACCGAAAGATGGTATTCTGGGACATGCCTAGGGGTTCTCTTCTCTCCCCTTTTTTTTGGGGGGGGTGGGCGGGGGACCCAGAGAGGTGCCTCCAGCCTCGCTCCAGCTGAAGAGCCCGCGCCGCTGTCACACGGACCGCAGCACAATGCGGGAAGCTGTTGACACGTAAATGATCTTTTCTAACCGCCTAACAAAAGAACCCGCCGGCCCCCGCGAGCCCCACTCACGGGGCGGGTTTAGACAATGGGCGCGGCGGCTGGAGCCTGGAAAGGGGCCTCCATGGGCCAGTGTTAGGGGGGAACCCTGCGAAGAGAGAACCGGAATTTTGCACCCGAACTTGAGTACCCAGAAGGTGGAACAAACCTGGGGTGGGGGACCTTGCACGCGGGGTGCCTGCGCGCCATCCCCACCGCTCTTTGAGCCCAGCGGGGGCGGACAGTCTGGTTTTCGAGCCAGAGCAGAAATGTGGCATTACGTGTAACATCTCATCGTCTTTAATGTTGACAACTCATTAGAAAATGTTCAGCTGGGCCAAACAAAAGCAAGCTGACTTCAGCCCCGGGTGCGACCTCCGTCGTGGGAAATGGAGGTGTACACCGTAGTCTACACTCAAAACACTCACATCGGAGTCAGGGTAGAAGAGTTAGCAGCCGTGCTACTGGCCAGATCACTGGCTGCCGCGAGACCGTGACCCCCGGGTTCTGAGGCCCTGGGGAGGGGGTCCCCCTCCCGTCCGCCCCTGTAGTTACTCAGATCTTCAGTGAAGGGAGGAGGTGGTGCCATGTGAGGCCCCTCCTGCTTCCCCACAGTGCAGGGACTTCCTGCGTCCTCTGAAGGCCCGCCAGGACCCCTCCAACCCTCCGCGCCGCAGTGGTGCTGACATCACCCCCAGAGTCCTCCGGGGCGCCCTCCGGTCCAGCAGGAAGTGTGGGAGGTGAAGCGTCCGTGCGCCGCCTTCCGCGCCCCACCACGCCCCACCCCGCTCCACCCAATTCTTCCAGAGGGGTCGCCCGCAGAGAAGGTGGGAGTTACCGACTGCTTAGGCACTCTCCCGCATCTGGTGCCCTCCAGAGCACGGCCCGCCTGGAGAGCGGGGTGGGGGCGGAAGCCACGTGGCTCCTCCCCTCCTCCCGATAGGAGGGCGGGGAGACGCTACCAAACTGTTAACCTTGGCCACCCTGGGGACTTGAGGCATTTTCTTTGAATATCGCTCTGTGGTTTTACTCGCTTCAACAAGCAGCTTCCCTGTGACTTCTGTAATTTGAAACAAAAATCCCAACTAGCGTGAAGAGAAAAAAGGGCCTGAAAACGAGTGTAAATATAAACACCAGGTTTAAACAGGGGAAAATGTTTATTGTTAAGTGAGAACGGCAGAACCCAAAAACAGTACATCCTTGCCACCTACAGCGGTGCAAACATGCAAGGCCATGGGCAAAAAGGCAGCCTCCCAGGCCGGCAGCTGTGTGGGACTTTAAGGTTTATTAAGCAGTATATTATCTTTTCAATAAAATGGAGACAGCATCAGACACGCTCTCTTAAATATAAGAATAAACATAGAAGACCTAAATAGACATTTTTCCAAAGAAGATATACAGACTGCCAACAAACACATGAAAGAATGCTCAACATCATTAATCATTAGAGAAATGCAAATCAAAACTACAATGAGGTATCATCTCACACCGGTCAGAATGGCCATCATCAAAAAATCTAGAAACAATAAATGCTGGAGAGGGTGTGGAGAAAAGGGAGCACTCTTGCACTGCTGGTGGGAATGTGAATTGATACAGCCACTATGGAGAACAGTATGGAGGTTCCTTAAGAAACTACAAATAGAATTACCATATGACCCAGCAATCCCACTACGGGGCATATACCCTGAGAAAACCATAATTCAAAAAGAGTCATGTACCAAAATGTTCATTGCAGCTCTATATGCAATAGGCTGGAGATGGAAACAACCTAAGTGCCCATCATCGGATGAATGGATAAAGATGATGTGGCACATATATACAATGGAATATTACTCAGCCATAAAAAGAAACGAAATTGAGCTATTTGTAATGAGGTGGATAGACCTAGAGTCTGTCATACAGAGTGAAGTAAGTCAGAAAGAGAAAGACAAATTCCGTATGCTAACACATATATATGGAATTTAAGGGAAAAAAATGTCATGAAGAACCTAGGGGTAAGACAGGAATAAAGACACAGACCTACTGGAGAACGGACTTGAGGATATGGGGAGGGGGAAGGGTGAGCTCTGACAAAAGCGAGAGAGAGGCATGGACATATATACACTACCAAACGTAAGGTAGATAGCTAGTGGGAAGCAGCCGCATAGCACAGGGAGATCAGCTCGGTGCTTTGTGACCACCTGGAGGGGTGGGATAGGGAGGGTGGGAGGGAGGGAGACACAAGAGGGAAGAGATATGGGAACATATGTATATGTATAACTGATTCACTGTTATACAGCAGAAACTAACACACCATTGTAAAGCAATTATACTCCAATAAAGACGTAAAAAAGAAAGAATAAACAACCACGAGTCAATAATTTCAGTGTTGCTCTGGCTGTGTGAAAGATATGCAGTGTTCGTTATATTTCCTATGCTTTTGTTATCTGCCTGAAATACAACATAACAATCTTAAAAAAAGACAGGCAGCTAGATGGCAGCTGGTGACCCGACCCTGTTCCCAGAGTCTTGGTTCACCAGACTTCCCTGCCGCAGCCGGCAGCCCTCAGCGCTGCAGACTCAGTCTTGCCACAGTCAAGAGGGGATCCATGTCCCAGGATGAACACATAACTGATTGTAAATGCAGGTGCATTCGTTTCTTAGGGCCGTTGTAACATTATCACAAACTTGGGGGCTTAAAACAACAGAAATTTATTCTCATAGTTCTAGAAACCAGAAGTCCAAAATCAAGGTGTCAGCAGGGTCACACTCCCTCTGGAGGTTCCGGGAGGGTCATTCCTGCCTCTTTCAGCTCCTGGTGGCCCCAGGCATTCTTGGCTTGCAGCAGCATCACCAAATGCCTTAATATAAAACTAACATCAAAGAGCTCGAGACCTATAGACAAAAAATTGTAAAACACAATTGAGAGAAGTTACAGAAAAAGTAATTACATGGAGGGATATACCAAGTTCAAGAATTGGAAGACTAAGTATTGTAAAAATGTCATTTCTCCCCCAACATACTCTACAGATCGATGCAAATGGATTTTAAGATCCCAGGCAGGATCTCTGCACAGAAATGGACAAGCTAGGCTTCCATTGCCAGTATGTGAACTCCTACTGAACTAACCTGCCACAGACAGCACTATGAACTCTGGACAACATAACGCTCACCTGGAGTAGTCAGAGTGAGCACAGGCAGGTGCTGGAGAGGAGAAGCCCTGGAAGAAGAGAACGGCCGGGTGAGCTGCCTGCTTTCACAGCTTCTAGCCTAAGGGCAGGCCATGCCATGCAGGGCAGATAAACACCAACAAAACACCTGCAGTCCTGCTGGCCTGAGAGCCAGGAGATAGAGTTTGGGCAATGACACCCTCTGGAAAGTATTTGGGGGCATCCCAGAAAGGAAGGAGTGAGAGAAGGGGAGACCCAAATTCTGTTTGTAACCTGGGCCTAAATCTCCAGGTGACATTGGAACATAGGATAGACTCCCAGCATCTTGGCTGAGAATAAAAGAACTGAGATGAGATCTGAGCTGCTGTCCAAGGGACAGTATTTGCTGTCTGAGCCCCACCAAGTCCTCTTTGATTTGCTAACACAAACATAGAAATAATCAAATCAATGCTCTTTGAGTTAATATAGGAGAATCCAAGGTCAACACAAAATAACACAATATCCAGGACAAAATCTAAAGTTACTAAACAAAGAAAAGGAGAATCTTGGCCATTCTTAAAAAAAAAAAAGTATGGGCAATTGATCCCTGATACGACACAGGTGATGGAATTAGCAAAAGAAAATTTTAAACTATTGTACTCACTCATGTAAAGAAAAATATGCTTTTAACGAGTGAAAAGATTTTTTTTTAAATCACAGCAGAGTTGGGACTTCCCTAGTGGTCCAGTGATTAAGACTCCGTGCTTCCAC